ATATATGTTTTACCACTTTCAATGAGGTGTCAAAATCTCATTTTTATTTAGGGCCTACTATACTTCTAGCTTTTAAAATGTATTCTTTCCTCAGCATAAATTAAACACCATGTCAGACAATGAGATTATTATATTTCTTGGATTTCATTCAAAAGATACATAGCAAGGTCACTATGCTGGAGGAGCAAAATGAATACCTTCCAGTATATATCACTGCCTGCTAGACTTGATATAGCTACCAAATGAACAATCCTGACTCCTACTTATGCTTCTAGGCAACAAAGACTCTTTGGAAGAAGCCATACAATTGCATAAATGTAACTAGACTTAGGGATGACTGAGTAACCAGCATGCTGAAGCTATAGGTTCCATCTTCTTTCAGAACCTATGATCCCATTATCATCATTTTCAGGCCCAAACTTTAAGGGTTAATAAAACTCATTTATCCACATAAGTCTTCTAATATAATTAGTAAAATGTAAATTGATCTTGTTACATTCTGCAGCCAATCTTATTTTCCATTTTGAAAACACTGCATTAATATTTAAATAAGACCTGCTTGAAGCCCCCTACTTATAAGCCTGCCTGGGCTCTCACTTATTTCTATTTATAAAATTTGACACTTAGCACTGTCAGCAATGCTCCCACTCACTGTGAACAAATTCCCTGGGATAGTTTCTAAATGGTTCTCACCTCTTTTTAAGCCCCAATCTCTCCCTCTCGGTCTCTCCTTTGGGTTTTCTAATGTAATAGGAAACTTTGAAGGTAATTCATTTGAGCTAACATAGTATTCCATAATCTCCTTGAAATTTCCCCCAAAGTCAGAGAGAAAGGATGACTCTCGTTTTCAGAGCCTGCCCCACTGCTCAAATTCTTTATCTTGTCCTCTCAACTCTTATGATCCTATTCTTCCTAGTATCCTATTCTTCTCTCCAGCAATTCAGACTGTTACTTAGTAATGGCCAGCTTTGTCTTCATCTGTACACAGATCACCCTGTCATCTCTTTCAAAACCTATCTTGGGTCTTCCACTCCTACCCAAATTCTCTAGTTTTATCTGTTGTATTCTTCATGATCTTATACCTACGCCTACTCTTTATACCCCTTTCTTTACAGATCCCTTGCAATTTGATTTTTAACAACCTCCTCTGAAAAACACTCAGTGCAAATGTGCCAAGTGACCTTTTAATGACATGTAGCAGCATTTCCTCACTTCAGCTTCCAGCACATTTTTGCTTCATTTGATACAGTTTATGGGTTTATAAAACTATTCCTCCTACAGTGTCTATGAAACAATAGTATTTCACCTGCCACCCTTGACTATGGGAATCTATTAACATTGTATTTAGACTTTTACTCTTCTTTTACTTCCTTAATACTGTACATTCCCTTGTCTTCCAATTCTGGTTCTTGTTAATTAACATTCTTCCTGATCAGTCTCTAGATTATTAAAATGTCAGCATTTATTTACTTGTCTTCAGACTCTCTGCCATAGTCATTTCCATTTCTAGGCTTTCACCCATATAGCTTAGCCACATGGAACACTTTACTCTGTGCTAATCTAAATCCAATGTACTCAGGGTCCAAGGGCACCTCGTGTCCTACATTAGGCCTTTGCTAAGCATTGCAGAACTTTTAAAGTCTTTGTCTGATGCCATATTAGAGTTGTAGTCTTCCTGACAAAACAGTATCTTCTGACAGTCTTTAGTTACCTCAAATATATAATTCTTGTCTCATCAACTACCCCCTCTCAAAGCATGGATGTAGGGTTTTATTACCTGACAGGCTTGCAATATGTTAGGCATAGAGTTGCTTAATGAATTTGTCTAATGGCTAAATGGCGAATGTTATTTAAATAAGTCATAATAATTATATAAATCATTGATCCCTCCACTTTGAGTGAAACTAGGTATTTAATTGGCTTATTAAAAGGTTATGTGAGGGCTGGGGATTTAGCTCAGTGGTTCCAGCACCTGCCTTGCAAGCACAAGGTGCCAAGTTCGATCCCCAGTACCAAAAACAAACAAACAAACAAAATAAATAAAAGGTTGCATGAGGCACAATGACATTGGCTCAGAAAGAGAATGAGCTCTTAAACCAGGCTACCTGAGTTCAAATCCTGGCTCTCTCACATAATGGCTATGTGACTTTGAGAAGGTTAATTAATATCTTTGGGACTTAGTGTCTTTCATTGAGAATATGAGAACATAACAGTACCTCCTTCCGGAGTCATTACAAGCTCCAATGACTTATGTCAGATACATATTTACAACAATTTCTAGCATGTAGAAGTTGCTGTATAAATGCTATTATTAAATGTTCATTACACATAGAATGTACCTCAGAGCTAAAACAATCTTCGCTTTACAAATGAAGAGCTGAGGAATCAAGATAAAAAGGATGGACTCAAAAGCACATGGCTAATTTGGGCATCAAGTTAAACTCCCTCCCTGAAGCCTATTCAGTATCTGTTTTTGTTTTTCTCCCTAAGGATCTCTATATCTGAACAGAGACCAAATTACAGAATCTTTGACTTATAAGGGACTCTTTTCTTTAATTTTCCCATACAGGACCATACTGCATGATCACTTATTACAAACTTTTCATCTTTGCCAGCAGCTCCATTTCAGATTTTTAATCATTTTGGGTGTGGGGGGAGGGGGATATGTGCTACTAAGAGAGCCTGTACCAGGGCTCCCAAGTTAAGAAATGCTTGAGAGACAGGAATGGATGACAAGGTCAGGTCCCCTGAGTTCAGCTGACCATCACTAGTGAAGCTATTTTAATATCCATTTTTTGAAAAATAAGATTTCTTTTACAGGGAAAACACTGCCTGGAATACTCATTATAAAGCTGTGATTCAAGCCATCCCACACATACATGAATGTTTTGCAGATAGTATCCTTCCTGGTAAGAATCTGAAATTATGATTTTGATGAACTCTGAACAATACTCTCTAGCAGCCAGAAAAAGGCACAGGAGCCAAGTATCCATACCAGGCATAATTTCAGAAGTTTCAGCTTTCTGTGTGGTTCTCTGGAACAGTATTCAGCCTGGTTGTGAAACCAAGCTATGCCGGGGTTTTAAAATTCAATCTAGCAGATAGAGACTCTCAAGAGGAATTACAGCAATAAAAGATTGCTATTAACTAGGCATAAATAAGCCTGTGTGTAAGGATACTTTCATCAGATACACTGAAACTCTATTTTCTGCCTCAATTCAATGCTAAGGGAAGAAATTTAATTTCTCTTTTACACAAACAAAATCATCATGGGAATATGTAACACCTGTAAGGGAGCAGAACAAACTGAATAATTATGTTCATCCACCACATTCCCATTGCCCACTATTCCCTCCACAAACAAGACTCAGGGAACCTACATTCTCCTTGCATGATTATTTTAAATGCCTGAGTATAAAATAGCGACTCTGAGCTTTATGGCTTGGGATTTAATCCTCAGAACAAGGGGGTTCCATTACTTGAATCTCAAAGTTGAATTAATGTATTTTCTTTACACTGAAGCCTGAACAGATTCTCTCTACTAGTCCTACATAGGATTGTCCCTCCTTTGTATTTCTTTAGTATTTTATTTACATCTCTAAACTTAGTCATAAAAAATGATTTATTATACCTAGATATGTATATTCTCCTTTGTAGACTCAGGAGGATAGACTTCATGTCTTACATATGTCTGCACTCTCTCAGAGCTTTACAGTGTCTTAGACATAGTAGCTGCTCACTAAACATGTTATTTAGGTTTAATTGTAATATTCTAATCTGAAATGAAAAGACAATTCTCAGATGAAAAAGTAGAAACAGCAAATAAATATGTGAAAAAATGTTCACCATCAGTGGTCATTCGTGAAATGCAAACTAAAGCAATGCTGAGATTCCATCTCACTCCAGAAGGAATGGCTGTTATCAAGAAATCATAACAAATGCTGGCTGGGGTGTGGGGAAAAGGGAGCCCTTCTCCACTGTTGGTGGAAGTGTAGACTGGTGTAACCACTGTAGAAATCAGTGTGGAGATTCCTCAAAAAACTAAAACTAGAGGTTCCATTTGACCCAGCTATACTTCTTCTTGGTATCTTCCCAAAAGAATTAAAAGCTTCATACCAGAGCAATATATGCACACCCATGTTTACTGCAGCACACTTTGTAATAGCTAAATCTTGGAAACAGCCCAAATGCCCATCAACTAATAAATGAATAAAGAAGATGTGGGGGGTTTTATACAAGGGAGTACTACTCTACCATAAAGAAGGATGAGCTTCAGACATTTATAGCTAAATGGATGGACCTGAGACCATACTCTTAAGTGAAATAAATCAGACACACATGTTCAAATACCACATTGTTTCTCTGGTGTGATAAACCCAAAGTGAAATAAAAGCTAAAATGTATAACAGATATTGGGAAATGGGAAGAAAATGTTCAAATGGGAAGGGAAACAAGGGAGAAAGGAAGGAAAAGACAAGAAAAAAAAGTGAAAATAGAAGGAAAAAATGGAAACAAAGCTTTTGTATATGGGGGGATGGGGGAAAAGGGGTGGAATGTACCATGTACAGATGCAAATTCCCTATGAGTGTTATCATTATGCCTAAAATGTACCAATAAATGTTGTGCTATTTAAAAATATGCTAAGCTTATACAGCGATAAAGTATTATTAATGATTTTTCAAGTTTATTATATCTTTTCCTTCCCAGTACTATGAATGCTTATTTTTTTAAACATGAAAGACTAGCAACTGGCATTGTAATTTCAACAACTATGTAAACAGTAAGAGAGTGCCTAGCAAATACTTGAACAGCTATTTTGTGAAAATTTGCATATGTTTCTTTTGAGCTTTCAGTTGTTTAAGGGAAACTCATCTATCTCAGAAGGACATCAAAAAGGAAGAGAACTCGCAACATAATGGAAGGATCCCAGAAACATTACTGCCCCATTCAGAAATAAGCCTCAGTACACAAGTCCTATTTCTAGGAGCCAGTAAATTTACCTGAATCATGGCATTTCCAAGTCCTCTTTCTTTTTTAGTGGGTTTTCTGAGAAATTGTCAGGTTTAATTTTCAAGAAACCAGTCTATGCCCACCAGGCCCATAGCCTCTTGTTCAAAAATTAAGATTTCAAGACAATGACAGCAAAGCATTAGCTGAGAAGCTCTTCTAAACACAGGGCCTTGTGTAACTGCATCCATCCTCCAAAGCTAGTCCTGTTGTCTCAAAGAGCTTCTGTACAGTGAAGAGAAAAAGGTCAGCGACTAATAATAAAAGCTGCAATTCAAGTACATACAAGGAGCTCCAAGAAAGAAGAGCAACGTCCTACCTTTGTACAGTCATTCCAAACAAAGTGAAAGTTAATTGAGGGCGCAGTTGAACAGGGAAGAAAGACATTCCAGATGTAAGAAGTAGCAGTGAAGGCGGCAGAATTCACTTGCTAAATTTCAGGAACAGGGATACTTTCAAGGAGGCTGGAGCAAATGAACATAGATGATACTTACCTTAAGAATAGAATGGCAGGTAGAGGTATAATAAATACGTAGGGGAAAGAACTGAACAAATTGAGCGCCTACTATCTGCCAAGTCCATTGCCTCATGTCATGTTAAACACCACAATCCATAAACAAACCCCTTATTTACTAAAGGATTGAGCCTTTTCCCAGTAAAGTACACAGAATTTGACACATCATAGGCATGCAATAAATATTTGAGGAATGACTAGCAGGACCGTCTCACTTAGGGCCCAGGGAGCTTAACCCCTAAACTAGCTGCTCAGCGCGCCGCTACGCGGCCCCCCCCCCCCCAGCTCTTTCTAACGCTCTCAGAGCCCACACCTTCCTCCCGCCCCTTGGTCCGCCTCCTCCCCACGCTTCCACGTGCCGGAAAGTGGGCGAGGAAGTACTTCCGGGTATAAAGGTCGGGCCCGTCAAGATGGCGGCCGCCTTGGAGCTCAGCTGCTGGGGAGGCGGCTGGGGCCTCCCCTCGGTGCACAGCGAGTCTCTGGTGGTGATGGTGAGGCCGCCCCGCCGGCAGGGGGACGGGGAGAAGGGGGGGCCCGAGGTGAGGCCGGAGGACGCGTGCTCCGCGGGTTGGGGCAGCCCGGGCTCCGCTCGCTTCACCGCGGAGTGCGCCTTCTCTTCTCTCAATGAGTCACAGCTGGCCTGTGACCCCGGGGCCCCGGCAGAAACATCGTGGCTTCTCTGCTCGGCCCTGAGTTTCTCAACTTTGTAAAGCTTTCCGTGCGGTGAAATGAAAGCTTTCCGGGTTGTGAGTCCCCGGTACGTTTGGGGGACAATGTTCCCGAAAGCCGGCTCCCTAGCCCATGTGTCAGGAGACATTCGCGTTTAGAGGACGGGACTGAAGTAAAGCTGCACTGCAGACTTGTATTACGTATTCACTTTAAAATGTGTTGTTGCAAACTCTATTTCAGGCTTATGCCAAATTCTCTGGTGCACCCTTGAAAGTCAGTGTCATAGATAACACCTGGAGAGGTTCAAGAGGTACAGTGTAAACTTCAGACATCCCTTTCTGCCCTTACCCCAATTCCATTTAAACCCATGAGACAGCCCTACAGTACCTTGGGAATTTAGTTACTTCTTACTATGACCTTGGATATGTGTTGCTTATAGTTTAACCACTCTGAGTACCACTCTGAGTAATAACCCAAACTGCAAGCCAAAACAATGGAAATTTTGAGAAATGAAAATATTCTCTAGAACTCTGAGATTGAAAAAATTGAGACGTGCTTACTCATTTTTCCCCCTCCAAATGTGCGACTGGTATAGTTTTTAGTGTATTGGAATCTCCAGGGAAATCACTACAATGCCTTGTGTTTTCATGCTTTTTTTGATTATAGGCGATGTACCAATTTTGACAACTGACGACAACATTGTTTCTCAGCCTGCAAAAATACTAAACTTTTTAAGAAAACAGGTGGGTGGTTCCTTTTGAAGAAGTATATTATTGATTTCTGCGTCTTAAAAAAAAAACAGTGTAAGGTTGTTTTTTGTTGTTTTGCAACTCATTATACAATTGGAAATAACCTGGAGTTTGATGAAAAATAGACTTGAGAATCACTTCCTGAAAAAGCATGAATTTTACTGTGTTTGGGAAGTCATATGGTGAGGTGTAGTCAACATAGACTTTTATGCACTTTGCTTGGATTTTATTGAAATTTATAAGAAGATTCAATTTAGGTTTTTGCGCTATTTCACTTATTGATAGCCAGTTTAGTCACATAGTTGCTACACATTTTGTGCTGGGTCTGACAACTATTTTTATGTTGAGTGTTTTATGAAACAATGTATCTAAAATGTTTGTACGGGAACATTTATTTAGAAGTATCCCAAATGTTTAAACATGTAACGGTTTATATGAGTGCAAAGTTACACTTGTTTTGCCACTACTTTTTAAACAAACGTTCTGTGTCAGTACAATTTGAGAATTGTCTGTTTCCTTTTTTATGGATAAAAATGCAACCAATTGAATTTTTTTTGTTTCCTTTTTAAAAATAACAATTATTTTTACAGTATTTGTTAACTTTGCATTACACGCTATGGTTTTAACTAGCCCATTAACAAAAATTAAGGTAATAAGTTAATTTTAAGATCACATTTATTACGTGCATGATGTGGTGCTAAGATCCTTATGTGCTTTGAGCAACAGTTTTCAGTGGGCTTGTATTTCCCAGTTAATATCACATTTGCCATTATTTAGCTTCACTGTCCTCAGGATATTATTTGACTATTGAAGCCCTTTGGTTTTGTTTTTTAATAGAAATATAACGCTGATTATGAACTGTCAGCAAAACAAGGGGCAGATACACTGGCTTACATTGCTCTCCTTGAAGAGAAGCTTCTCCCTGCTGTGGTGAGCATTCATGAATACTAGAGTATTTTAGTGACTTAATAGAAAATGTACTTTGTCTGTTTAGGAGGGAAACAATGAAAAGGCTTAGGAGAGGGAAATTCAGTTGCATATTAGTCTTGATTCTTTTATATTACTGTCTTACTGGATTAGATTCAACTAGTATGTGATATATAAAAATAAAAGAATCTCATTTTCGAAATAAAAATTCTTTGTGGGAGACGAAACCTTTTTCACAGTGTATAAAATTGGTTAAATTGTAAATCATACTTTTAGGAAGTAATTACTGTGTACCTACTATATGCTAGTGCTAGGTCTTCTGGGTGTTTGGGATTAGTGAAAACTCATAAACATAATTTTGTTTTATCCTAAATCATTCTAACTGTAAAATTTATATAAAGTCACTTTATACAGAGACATTTATGAGAGATTCTCACATTGATTGAGCAACCTTTTAATAAAAGAACATCCTTGAGATATTTTTGCTCTACTTTTGCAGCTCCACACATTCTGGGTAGAGAGTGACAATTACTTTACTGTGACAAAGCCATGGTTTGCTTCACGAATTCCTTTTCCCTTGAGTTTGATCCTGCCTGGAAGGATGTCTAGGGGAGCACTGAATAGGATTCTCCTGACCAGAGGGGGGCCTCCCCTCTACCACATCCAAGAAGTAGAAGCACAGGTATGGTCTGGATTATTCTCCAAGCAAGGGCTCTCTAGGGAAGAGATGGGAAACAGCACAGGTTGACTGATCTAGGGATGCTGCCTCAAAAGCAGTTTCAGAACATCTATCCTACTTCTGAGATATAATTCCACTTTTATTAGATATACAGAGATGCCAAGGAGTGCCTAAATCTTCTATCAAACAGATTGGGAACATCTCATTTTTTTTTTGGAGATACGTGAGTACATTGCCTTAAAAATCATTTTAGTATTTTCTGTGCATATATTCCATGAATAGTAAAGCAAGTCCTTCCTGTGCCCCCAAAAGATGAGTTTTTCACTTAAAAAAAAAAAAAAAAGATTTCATGGGTTTTTATTGTAGGAAACCTTTTCTGTCAGTGGTAATCTAACCTTGGCTTAATATGCTGCATGTGTAAATGTAAAACTGAAGATTGCTCCCACCCTACCTCTAGTCTATTTAGTACTTGCAAAAATGAGTGTAATTGTCAACTTCATTTTCTTATAAATAAAATAAGTGGTTATTTAAAAACTACGTAAAGGGTAGAACCCTAGTTGCATTGTTTTTATAGACTAAAGTGGGTGATAAACCATTAAAACATTGTGTTGTGTACTTCAGACGACATGTATTTGAAAGAAAAATTAAGCACAATCCCAAATTATATTTTCTTATGTACTTACAGAAATCCTTAATGTATTTCTAGGCCTTCTACCTTGGATGCCTATGTATTTGGTTTTCTTGCACCTCTTTATAAAGTACGGTTTCCTAAAGTTCAGTTACAAGTACATCTGAAACAGCTTTCCAACCTCTGTCGCTTTTGTGATGACATCCTAAATAGTTACTTTAGGCTTAGTCTTGGAGGTAAGCTGGCTCTACTTAGCTAATGTTTGTTTGCATAGTGTATTTTGCATATTCTCCTGGGATGCATAAGCAAAACTCATTACTTATTTTAATATAAAACATTTATGCATCATCTTTTAATACTGGTTTATAACATTTCATGAAGTTACATTTTTCCTGCTTCATTTTTCCCCATTAGTGTTAGTTCTTATTTAAATAAATAGACACGTGCCTTGTATTTATTCCTCTGGATTTTATATTTCTTACCTCTTTTAAGTACTACCACTTTGAAATGGGTGGTTTTCTTCTAAAAGATTAAACCACAGGTATTTTGAGTCCCTACTGAAAAATAGTATTTATTCTCATGCAAATGGACAATTGCTTTAAATGATTCTTACCTGCCACTTCTAGCATTTTCCGGCGTGAACAGAAATCAGTGGCAGATTGATTTTGGTGAGGTACTCCCATGATTCCACTGCTTGAAAAATGAGTGCATCAGACTGGAGGTATAGTAAATAGAGGGCAGCTGTCGCTTAGGGTATGATTCTCTGTGAATCTCTGTGGTTAACTGACTGGGATGCTGAAGTTGTATTGAGAGTTGGCTGAAACTGTCCTTTTAAGAAACTAAAATATTATAAAGATAGTGCCTTAGGTAGACAGTGTTTTTGTTTTTGTTTTTTTGCTCATGGTGGGTTACATGGGGAGGAATTAGTAGATTGGAAGTCATGAAACTAAGTAACATTTAACCTTGTTACTTTGGAGCAGTTAGCAAACCATATTCCATAACAAATAAAAAGCACTGGGTCCTGTTCTTGACTCCATGAATTAGAATCACTTAGGGATGGGTCCCAGAACCCTGAACTTTTTAAAATGTCTTTAAATATTTTGAGTGCCTGGTAGGTAGCTGTTTGGAAGTCAGTGCCTTACAAAGCTTACAAATAGTTGTGACCAAAGACTTATTTGGAATGCCAGCGGGGAAAGTACAACTTCAATTTCAGAAGAAAATAAGGACTATCATGCTTTTACTAATTACTGTGGTTAACTGTGTGTCACTTGGATCGTGATGTCTCCTCAATGGAGATTTTAGTCCTTTTGTTTAAGGTTTGGTACTAGAGCATTACTGTCCCTTTTAACTTTGCCTTTGAACCCAGAATGGTTTTTCTCTTTGCATTTTTTTTTTTGAGAGAGTGGGGCACTTCGGAGGGTGGGTCGACTCAAAATTCTTTTAGTCTAAACAGCTTTAAAGACTTTCAAATTTTCCTGTCTTTCTGATTTCTGTCCTGGCTTCTTAGGAACCTCTCCAGTTGGACAAGAAACAGTAGATGCAAATCTGCAGAAACTCACACAACTTGTAAATAAAGAATCCAACTTGATTGAAAAGGTCAAGTTTACTTCAATCATTCTTTTACAGTAGTCTAGTATTTTCCTTTCACCTTCTTCATTTTCTAAAGAGTTTACATTTTAGAAAGTTGTTTAAATATACTTTTACTGAAGTTGTATATAGTGCAATGTTTTGAAACCAGTGGTGGCCTTATTGCTGTGGGGAAAGTTCAGATAATGGTATTGTGTTTACTTTTACCACAGTTCGCACTTGTCAAGCTAAGAGACCTAGAAGACTGACTTAAAAAAAAAAAAAAAAAGAAGAAGCCGGGGATTTACCTCAGTGATTCCATCACCTGAGTTTGATCCCCAGTACAAAAAAAAAAAAAAAAAAAAAAAGCAGCAGCAGCCTGGCACATGGCACAGTGGCCCATGCCTCTAATCCCAGCTACTCAGGAGCCTAAGGCAGGAGAATTACAAGTTCAAATCCTGCCAGGGCAACTTAGTAAGAGTCTCTCAAAAAATAAAAAGGGCTGGGGATGTAGCTCAGTGGTAGAGTACTTGTCTAACATTTGAAAGGCTGCGGATTTGATCCCCAGCGCTGCAAAACAAACAAAAACAAAAGAGTTCTTGTTTTTCTCTTTTTTTCTCTGTGCTTCTCCTTTTCTCTTAATAGTACCATGATATCTTTTTCTGTGATAGTTTTTCTCCATCTTGTCCTCTGTTTTAAATGTAGTCAAGGTTTTTCCACTAGTATACATATTTTGCCATTTTGGGATGTTTATTTTGTAAGAGCTATTTGAGGAACTGGATGGGCTTTACTTTTTTTTTTTTGGTACTGGGGATCAATCTTGGGACCTTGCGCTTTTGAGGCAGGCAGAACCAATGAGCTAAATCCCCAGCTGAGGAACTGGGTGGGAGAGAGTCAACAATGGAAATTTCAAGGGTGATTCTAACTGGGAAAATACAAAAGAGTTGCACATTTTTCCATTTGTCTGATAAACCTGCTTTTTTCTTACAAAAATGAAAATACTCCATTCCTTCACTGACACTAGCTAATTTTTTGAGGTCTAATGAGCACTGTAGTATAAGGCTCATTCAAGTTACCTCATTTAAACCTCACAGTAGCTCTGTATGGATACTATTATTGTCCCCATTTTACAGATGTGGATACTGAAGCTGTTAGACTAACTTAAATCACCTGCCCAACGTCATTCATCTGGCAAAAAGTAGAGTGTGAACTTGAGCCATAAAAGTGGGTCTCCAGCATGAGCTTTGCAGTTAGCTATTCTCCCAGGGACCACTGGGGTCAGCTGTCTTAGCTTGTAAATGAGATTATGTTCCCGTTGCTAGTGGCACTAGTAGTCAGGTTTATCACTGTCATTCTCTGAGATAACCACCTGTTGCTTTTTTGTGGTTTTTTTCATGTGTTGTTATAATTTGAGGAGTAAAACTAGGTAGTAAAATTGTAAGCATGCATAATTATTGAATTTTGGTAATTTGTGTTAATTTTGGTAAGAATTGAATTAGTCTATCTCAATTCTTTGCTCAGTTCAGTAAATCTCATGATGGAAGTATATGAAGTATAAAGTACATATAAAAGAAAGAGCACTTGCCTACTAAATGAAGGCTATTCAGTGTGGTTTACATTTTCTATATGTGACACATTCATGCTATATATGGAAGAGGCACTATGAAATAGGTACTGTACAGAAAGTGAAAACAAGGGACCCTGTCACCACTTCATACACATCCACCTGAGCTTATCAATTTATGAAGGCGTTTTTTACCTATTTCAGTCAGGCCTTCCCTTCCCTCCACTCTTCATTCATTCATCCCTGCTTATCCATTGGAAATGTTTGGTTTACTGGTTGCTACAAGACAGTAGTAGCAGATCCTGTTGGCCATCACCATTCACAATTTGAACAGAAAGTCTAGAGCTTAACAGAAGAGTCATGTTTGAGGAACTTAGTTTTACAAGAAAGAAAAAACATCTTAACATAATCTAAATAGTTCATTGTTATTTTTTCTGGTGGAAAATTAAAAATTAATCATTTTTTTCTACAAATCTATTTCTGCTGAAATTTTTTTTATAAGAACATCTTGGGAAGATAAGGAGGAGTTTTGACTATTCTGCACATATGTAAAACTCTTTAAAAAGCCTGCTTATCGAGTAGGTGACAGGATCCTGTTTTCTCTTGGTGTTGTGTTTTTGGATGGCAGTTACTTTCAAGTACTGAAGGTTAAGCTGAAAGTGAACCCACCATCAGGATCTGAGTCTTGCACTTAATGGAGTACTCTGGTTAAAGATAGTTTTCAAGGGTCTGGGTTCTAAACAATCCCTGTCCTCCTACTAGAGTTGTTAATATGACTTTCTTTAGATAAATCTGAAGTTCTTGGGCATTTTCCTAATATGCTTATATTTATTTCTTTAAAGTAGGCTTGAACTGATTGAATGTTGGAAGATGTGTAAATTGGGTATAAGCAATTTGTCCTTTCTGCCTGTTTTTCTGACTTCTTTTGGTCTATATACTCTCAGCTTGAAAGAGCTGGTCTTTTTGAGTAGAGTACAGGTCATTTCATTGAGGCAAAACATTGTGTTGAGATTCAAGTTCAAGTTTCAGCTCTCATACTAGCTTTTGGACCTGAGACAAATCACTTAACCTTTCTGGGCCTTATTTTGCTATCTATACATCAAGGAAGGACTGTTGTCTGCCTTGTTTCTTTCAGTATGTTGGGAAAATTAAATGCAGCATTGGAGGTGTATAGACTTTATAAACTGTGGGACTTAGTGTAGCAGAATTAGTACTTTTACCCTTTCTATTAGAAGACTTCTTAAACTAAGTGATACTATGGGTGAGTTAATTTTCATTTAGTGGAATTACTATAAATTGTGAGGGTACCAAGGTACTATAAATTGTAAGCCACATTGCTTTCTACAGCTAGTCCACTGGTATTAGTGATATATTCAAAATTCTTGAGAGATTATTTGTAGGAAAAGGTGTCTGTGACAGCTCTGGCAACATATGGTTCTGTATTCTTCTAGGCTGTAGTTTGGAAGGGGAGGCCACAGTCCACCGAGGTGGTACCACAGCCTTAGTCAGATATATCTTTTGTACTTCCTGCAGATGGATGACAATCTTCGCCAAAGCCCTCAGCTTCCTCCTCGGAAACTGCCAACACTCAAATTGACTCCAGCAGAAGAAGAAAGTAATTCCTTACAACGGCTGTCGCCCTAAGAGTCGTCATGCTTTGTGGTCCTGGTTGTATGAATTGTTATAATCTCTTACACCAAGTGTATGAAGGCAAAAAGAAAATACTGTTAGTAGGTATAAGGAAGACTCGAAAACAAAAGCTTTCTGTGGCATCTTTTTTTTTTTTTTTTTAAATTAAGAAACTTGTATTTTAGCTCGGCAATGCATTTTAAATAAAGGTGCATGCTAAAATGAATATGATGGATGGGAGGGGAGACATACTGTACTGTATGTTTAAAAAAAACAACAGCAGCAACCTGCCTTAATCCTGGCAGATTTTTGCCTTTGGTTCATGTGTTGCTGACCAGAAACTACAATTCTGTTCTCAGTGTGCATTCTTAATTTATTCCAGTTAATTTATTCAGGTTATTAACTTAGTTTTCTTATACCTATCTAAATACATAGTATGTGGCTCTATGCCTGAATCTTTTTTCTTCTGTTTAGAAATCTGATGCCTATCTTAGGAACTAGGAAAAATATAAATTACTTCAATAGAAAAGCCTGTATTTAACTTTAAAAAGCAACGAGGAATGTGTTTTCTAATTATGTTCTCATAAGCCTAATCTTTTAGGAGTTTAGTACCATATATAAATATCAAGTGATTATATTTAATGTTCTCCCAGTGACATGCACTTCAGTACATTAGTATTTGTTGATGTGTTCAGTGTAGGCCAGCAAGGGCTCTTTCCATTTGCTGGGCAAACGTGGCAGCTTTAGACCTTTGGATTTGTAGTGCACCTTTAATCATCTCATTGTGTTGATTCCAGGAGAACTGAATGTGTCGGTCGTCTTTACTGTGTGAGGCCATTAAACCTTAATGAAACTTGCCCAGTATTAGACACTACTCAGGAGGAGCCTGCAGCCAGGGTAATAGAAATATCTACTGTGCGTCTGGTCCGAGTTCTCCATGCTTGACTCAGGCCAGTATTTTTTTAAAAGAAATACATTATATCATCACAAGCTTTCTGACAACCAATTGTTTTCCATGTATTTTAACTACAGGTTGAAAGATCCAAGGGAATAATCAGAAATATTTCAGACTGTTTTCTATTCATTGGTTGCTGAACTGTTTGAGGATTTGCTCTATGGGAATTTTACTTATACTGTAATAGAAACTTGGTTATTTTAGTGGTTGAGGTGCTTCTGTTGTCCTAAGACCACTTCTGGGGTTTTTAAAACGTAGGACCATGTTTTTGATTGGTGTCTTAGAAGATTACCATGGCGCTCAGCAAAGCTTACCAAGTCCTCTGGAAACCAGAATGTTAAGAGAACAAGCTTTGTCGTCGAGAGACTCAGCTAGTTGGAGCTGAGTGAAGTTCAGCCATGTTTGACCCACATCTTCCTAATTTGTTCTGTGTTTAGGTAGCTATTTATACAGAAGTCTTGAAGTCATTCTCAATATTTTTTCTTGAAAGTTTTAACTAAATGACAAACAAGATTGTAGTCCCAGTCTTGTTCACCTGTTGGGATGCCTTTAGGGAAAGTAGCTAAAGAATTCACATTATTTCTACAACAGGGTGTGGGGGGTGTGTGTGTGTCTGTGTGTGTGTGTGTGTGTGTTTGTGTGATTCATCTTCAGAGGCAGGTTATTAGATTCTAGCAATCTGAAATATGTATGAATATTTTATATTAAAAGCCATGACCATGAGACTTTACTTTCCCTAGGATTGATGTATGTTGGAGAAGGGTGGTTAGCACATCAACCAGACATCTGTTTACACTTTAGTCAAGGTTAGTCATTTTCAATCATGATTTATATTAAACCTTCCAAAAAGCATTTGAAGTGACTTACAACTAAAATACATGTAAAACAGGACAATTGTGATTAATCTATGAAAAAATAAATTTGTAGGAAGGAAAAACTATATCAACACTAACACACTGTAAAATTGAATAGTGAATTTAACTTCAAGTTTTTCCATAGGTAAAGTCAAAAGATAATTGTGGGTTAAATAATTTCTTTTTTCAACAAAGCTACTGATGTTCATGAGGAACAGAAATGTATTTAAATATTTGTAAGAATGTGGGAGTTTGTGTTCTCACAATACACAGACATCAACCAAAAATTGTACTATAATCATGTATTAAATTTTTAATCAAAAAAGGCCATTTTAATATAATAAGTATTTGTCCTTTTCAGTAGTAGTATTTATTTACTTTTTGGTCATTCCTGCTCTGAACTGTCTTTAGCCTTGTGTAGCCCATGATATTTCCAAACTACTACCTTTCCTAGGAGGCAAAATGTGATTTAGTAAGTGAGAATTATATGTTGAGTTACTTAGTTGAGTTCATTTCTTTGTATAAGCACATAAAATGATAGAAAACTATGCCTGGCCACTAAATACTTTAGAGACCAGCCACACTTACAGGAAGCTCTTGGAAAAAAATAAATTTTGAGACTGATCAGAGGGCCTATAATTACCCAGTCAATAATGCTTTGGATAAAGGTTGAGCTTTCTGGAAAAAATGGTCCACAGCCTTAAACAAAATACTATGAGCTACTGTCTTTTGGAAGTGATGAGGGAGATAATACAATAAGAGGGAATGGGCTTGTGTTTAATTTTGTTAGCAGTACAGGATTAGAAAAATTAGCTAGACAATGCCCATAAGATGAAAATCCTCTATCAACAGCCATCCATGAAATGGATTGAACAGCACTAAAAGAAGTGTCCAGAGCGTTGAAGATAGTCTTTCCTTCAAAACTGTTTTTGATCTTACAAAAGGTTGGCATTAACAAATATCAGTGTAGGCATGTTTGTCCTAGAGAATTAGAGAATTTATAAAGCAAGCATTTTTATTTCTATTTGTAATTGCTATTTAAAGATGCTAGACACATAAATATGAGAGAATAGGGAAGCTTTTTTTAATCAAAGATAAGTTAAATTTTAAGTCTGTGAAAATGGGAAAAACTAATGTCAAAAGAGGCAGAAACTGATAATGGTAATAGTATCTTAGCAAACCACTTTATTCAGATAACTTCATGGGATGAAAATGGCACTTGAATTTAGTAATATGATTCCTTTGAGTCTCCTCCAGAAATAACTATTTACCAGCCCAGTTGGATTTGGGGAGTTTTTCATGAGCTGTCAAAAACCTGAAGCTTTTAAAAATCAAGAGTAAATGCTTAAATATAGACAGAAAGCTAAATGATAACGACACATGATATCTCTGTTCTGTTTTTTTGAGTTTTGTGAGACTATCATTACAAAACAAGAGGTTTTTTAAAGTAAATTCAGTAGAATAAATTATCTACATAAACTATGATTTAAAAGTTAATGCTCTAAACATAGTATTTAGTTCTAGATGAATATATGTTAAATATGATTTTTATTTCATTCTGGAGTTTAAAGAAAAAACAGTGCTTCTCTGCAAATGCTTCTCGAAAGATTTACTTTGCCTTGCTACAAAAGAAAAAACCTAAATTCCAGAATTCCTTTTCCTTGAGATATCAAAGTCTATGATTTTATGTTTCTAATTATATTTTTCCATATGGTATCTAGGTTCACATTTGAAAGAAATGCCTCCATCTCTTCATATGGTATTTCTTCTTTGCTTTGTGTTTGTAATCTAATTGCACAGTGTGACTAAGATGTTCACTAAGAGCACTTTTTAAAGAAGAGGGTATGACATGTCTCTGATCATACTGTTTTTTGTTTTTTTTTTCTGTTTTTGGTACCAGGAATCGAACTCGGGACCTTGTGCTTGTGAGGCAGGCGGTGGAACCGCTGAGCTAAATCCCTGGCCCACTGATCATATTCTTTTAAGCTCAGGGGAGTTAGTACTGACTTTGTCTTGGTTTGGTTATTTATTTATTTATTTTGCTGAGGTTTTTTTGTTGGTTTTTTGTTTTGCTTTGTTTTGTTTTGGGTTTCCTTATTTTTATAATTGAAATTCTGAGCAGAGCAACAGAGATAATTTGGGTTGTGATGACGGTCTTTTCTATCTGTCCTTGGTGGAAAGAATTATTTTTGCCTTTTTGTTTTCATATTTCTTTTCTAAAATTTTGTTGTTACATGAAATAAAATGCTAGCGATCCTATTGAAGGTTTAATTGAAGCTTCATTTAGATATTCAAAATGCTAATTTTCAGAGAGCTATAAGGATGAAGGATTTTTGTTTTAAGTTGTTTTGTATTTGTTTCTAAGGCATTGCAAAATAATGTAGCCTAGAAACTATTGTTGAGATGTAGTGATTGCTTAGGAACCCAAGTTCTCTGCCCTGGATATAAGATTTTTGTGACTGAGGTAGAGAAGTACTCTAGGAATTAAAAAGGATATAAAAAATTACTTTTTAATAAAGTTTTGTTTCGTTTTTTGTTACTGGGGATCGAACTTGGGTCCTTGCGCTTGCAAGGCAGGCAGTGGAACCACTGAGCTAAATCCCCAGCCCCTATTTTTTTATATGCCATGGATTACTGATAGGAGTTAACATTCTTGAACAATTACATAATAATAGCATAACTTCAGGTCAAATCTTTCCAAAAGGGGAATACTGTAATAGAAAATTTTTCAAAACAAAATAAACTACTTTTCTTAAAAAAAAAAAAAAGACAAAGTCTTTGTGTTCTCATTATTATTAATTTGAAATTATACTATAAGTTTTTTTAAAACCACCAGTTTAGTTTACCAGATAAGCAGTTCCCAAAGGGGTGTTTTGGCAGAATAAATTGTTATGTAAATTGAGGGGTCTGTTTGAAAGATGCTGGCTTAGGCAAAGTTGAAACTATAGGTTTTTCAGAACCTTAGATACACTAATGTGTATTTTCAATCTCTAAGCTTTGCAGATTTTCAAGTTTTATTTGATTATGTATTAAAGGCAATCTAAAGGATTATTGTGTGTGTGTGTACACAAATTGAGTAAGGTATTTCCCAGGGGAGGTTTAGTTTCCATTCAGAACCTCTATTTCATACACTATCTAATTTATTTTAATATGGATATTTTTTTTAAGTACAATACTATGTCATCTGCAAAATACACTTAGGGAGTGTTGCCCTGAAGTATTTTTGCTTGTTTGTGTTCATTGCAAAGGTTTCTTATTCTGGAGTGCCCCTCTAGTGATGGTGATAAAATAGGAAGGGATAAGTCAGGTCTGCCTTGGACCCCAGAGTTGAGAGAGGGGGGCTGGTTGTGGCTGCAGAGAGGTTGTCAGTGCATCCCCTTTCCTAGAACTTTGTCAGTCTGGATCAGCTGTACGGGGCCTAAACTGGTGGCTTCAGGGGACAAAACAGTTCTTAGGTGTCCATGAGACAGGGACGACAAACTTGTAATTCCAGAGCATTTTTCCAAAGCTTTTCTGTGCTTTATAAGTACCAAGAAAGACAGTGAAGTTTCTCATATATATGAAAGTTTGCAGTTGCTTCAGTGACACAGCAAAGAAGTTTACTATCCAGGTTATATTCTGTCAATGAAGACAGTTTAAGGAACAATTTCGGAAGTGGGATGATGTGTTCATTAGATTTTCAGCAGATTCTGCATCCTAAAAAATGTAAACTTTACTAGGCCTCCAAATTTGAGTTAACAAAATATATTTTCTTTTTTTCACTTCAGAGTGTAAAACCAGATCACAAATGAAGCATAAGGATGTTTTTCATTTATTTCTTGTTAAGTATTCAGCTGCCTGTTTGGAATTCCATGCTTTGGATGTGTATTTGAAAGAAAGCTTTCCTTTGGGCTTTGAGCTGTGGTATAATGGTGAACATCTAGCCACATAAAAAGCAGTTAGATCTCTGTCCTGATTCGTTGGTTTTCCTCTTGCAAATTTTGAGAAATGCCTTTTAATCATTCATGTTACATATCCCAGAACCTTGGAAATCACAAAACCTCACTTGCCAGAGTTCCCATCAGTCCCCAGCTAGTCATGCACCATGGAGACTTGTGGCCATTCATCTTTTGGACCATTGGCTGCTCCTCCATTGCTGACATCTGTCTCCTAGAGAAGAGGAGTATACTCTAGCTTTTAGGTTAAATGCATAAAGATGAGCTTTATTCCTTTCGCAACTCTTTTTTTTTTTAATTTTGTAAAATAGAAAATAATGTCTTTCCATTTTTCTGTCCATCTTGAAGTAGGAGTTTGAGGTGTTTGTAACTAGCTTTTTGGAAGATTGACAGTAATGAAGACAAGAAATATATATGTGTACATATTGGTTTGGTTTCACCAAGCCTATCTCATCAGTACTTAACATTTTAAACATTTTTTCTAGTGTGCAAATACTGTACTTTCATTATAAAATAAACACTTACAATAAGCAATGCTGACAGTCATTCCAATATTCTAGCCTTGCCTAATATGAATATATTTTACTCAAGAGACTGTGTATAAATACCCAGAAGTGATCAATGTTGTAAAGAGAGTATTCTAATAAATGACAACTGGATATAATGTTAAAATAGCTATTTTCTCAATAAAATCTCAAATTGCCCAAATGTTTAGTAATTCTTGAGTGATGTCATTTATCCTTTGAGGTAAGTGTCTTTGCTGTCAAGAATCTTTTACTGGTGTAGCATAGCTACTATATGATGGAACTAAGCTAAATTGAGGGCTGTACCTTTCATGTCCACCCGTCTGGAACACATGGAGACCACTTCTGCCATTTGCACCCCATGCAGAGGGAGGAGAGAGGCCTGCTGTCCAGGCTGCTGATGAGTAGGTGAGCCCTGACGCTCATGCAGCTTTTCAGGGCAATACCTTCCCCGTCCATTCTGCTGTATCACTTTCTTTTAAATTTTTCATTTTGCCCACTCAGTCCAGCAGTCTTGTATTTAATTGAATAGAAGACACAGAAAAATAATGCAGTATTACACACGGAAGATATTTGTGTCTTTTCTGCTTTGTTTATGGAATAGGGTGTATTTGCATGGAGAACCTTGTTATTTATAGTTGTTAAGGGCAGATGTCTCAGCCATTAGAATTTTTTTAATTAAGATAATTTACATACAGTGAAATACATGGATTTCTCCAAGTAGAACTATTCAGGGTATGAAAGTTTTTCTCTCACACAGGAAGCTGGCTATATCTTTGTTGATACTTCTACCAATAAAAGAACACAAATCTTAATTGCGGATGTGCTTAAGGTTTCAGATGAAAGGACCTTGAGTGGGTGGAGGTGGTTAGAAATGATCATCTGCTTTCTAAAAAAAATCAGGAAAGAAAAATTGCTATTGTGGAATAATGAGATTCTTTTCAGGAGAGGCAGCTGTACCTGTTTGGGAACCACAAAGCTGAAAGCTTAAGAAATTTTCGTTCTTAAATTGCGTGACTCAGAGGCTTGGCCTTGTCTAAGCATACTTCAGGTGCTCAGAAACTCATGGACATCTGTTTGGTGAGATGCTTTGCAGTCGGTGGTAGGCTGCAACACACACACACACACACACACAC